TATATATATATATATATATATATATATATATATATATATACTTTAGTCCATCCTGTGGTAAATGCTACTCCAAGTGTAGTTGGATTTACCGCATTTTCTTTTCCGTGTAGGCATAATATCCCATGCAGGAAACCCCCAGAGTTGACAAAGGGGCCAGGCTTGGGCCAGTACTGGGAAACCGGCGTACCTGTATTGGCCCATGCGTGGGCCTGGCTGTTTAACCCAGTTTCGGCCATGCCAATAATTACCCAACCTTGAACCAAGACTGGGCAACCAAGCCTTGGCCGGCCTAATGATTACCCGAGCTTGGACCAGAACTGGGTCTCCCAGCCACGGCCATTCAATAGCGGCCCAGACTTGGGCCAGGACTAGGCAATCTAGTCTTGGTCGACTCAATGATTACCCAAACTGGGTTAGCCAAAACTAGGAAATCTAGCCATGACCGTTGAATGGTAACCTAGACTTGAGCCAGAATTGGGTAACCTAGCCTTTGCTATTCAATGGGAAATTCAAACTTAATTAATCATTAAGTTATAGAATTTTAAACAGTAAATATTGATTATTTAACCGTCTTCAGAAAAAATATTGTTAAAAATAATGTCGGGAATAATTATGATAAGAGAGGGATGCATACTATAGTGGGATGGCATTATAGTAATAAGTAATAATGTAATGTTAGTTATAAGTAAAATATACTGAGTAGAGCAGACGTGCCTTGAACGATAAAAATAAAGTGTTTTATATAAATACATTATTCTGTTTATGAACTCAACAAATAAGTCTATAGTATAAGAACATTGTTTACAGAAAATTTCCTAAACTACGATTTTAGTCCCATATAATTTTTTCTTAAGCTCAATAATTTAGGAGTTATCGCTATTTTTATAGTAATTACATAAGTTGCTAAATTTAATTTTTTCTTATTTGTAAAAATAACAATAACAATCATCATAACGTTATAAAAATTATAGGAATTATTAAAGTGAAGACAATTAACTTTATTATCTAAATCACGTGGTATTTTAACTTTTTCACTAATTACTTTAAAAACAATTTCATTTCAAGACAAAGAAAGAAAATGAACCAATAATAATCGAATTAAGAATGATCAAAAAGATAAATTTAGTTTTATAAAGTATTTTTTTTTTTCATCAACCTTTAGTTCTTCGTTTTAAAAGTCACCGGCAATACCCAATGCAATGAAAATGTGTAAATTATTTTCAATATCGGTAATTTTAACAGCAAGCCTGTTTGTCTTTTTCAACAAATAATTCTAATCTTGAAGAAGAAAAAGATTTATACGAATTAAATTTGAGTAAAAAAGAGCCAGATGTGGTTAAATTCGTGGAAGATGGCTGGAAAAAATTACTCACTCAAGGAAACACCAGGGAAACGGTAGACAGAGGCGGATATGATGTCAAGTGCGCAAAAGTCCAAGTTGCAGACACTGAAACAAGATACACTATAGTTGTTAGATATTCTACTATTTCGCGCGATACAGTGTTTGATTGTAAAATATCTGTTATGACAACTCAAATGGAGCCTTTGAATATAAGTTGTATCGTAGGACAGTTTACAGTAAGTATAAGTGCTCAAAAAATAAATATTCGTTTTACCCCTTCTTCCCGATAAATTATGATTATGATTGTATTTACTGGTTTGTTTCAGGGCTTTTACGACCCGGCAGAATACGAGCATTATAATGCTTTCTCTGTCTACAACTGTTAGAATCAGTGCAACCTTATACTCTCACATTTACACACTCATATAAACATAAATATACGCTTATTACATACCCGGAAAGAAAAATTGAGGAATTTTTACTATTTTACTATTGTAATTTTTATTAAATAAAATATTAACGGTGAATTATACTTGTCATTTAATAATTTTTACGATCTATACCTAGGCACTATAAAAATGAATATATCTCCTAAAATATTTGAGACAAGCGTATAGTACAAAAAAATTTTTCATTGCAAATTTCCTCAACTACAATTTTCCTTTTTCATAAATTTTCCCTTAAATCAATATTTTAAGAGTAATAGTTTTTTTTTTAGTTCCTAAATACCAATTTTCCATTTTCCTTTAAGTCGGCGTTATATAAGTGATTATATCTCTTGAAATATTGAAAATCAGTCTATACTATAGAACCATTTAATAGGAAATTTCCTAAGCAACAATTATCCGGCCTAATGAATTTTCCCTAAAATCAATATTTTAGGAGTTATAGCCATTTCTATAGTTCCTAAAGAATAATTTTGAATTTTCTACTTCCTAGTCACTCCTAAAGTTCCTATATCTCCTAAAATATTAAAAATAACCCTATAGCATAAAAACATTTATGAGAGGAAATTTCCTAAGCTACAATTTTAGTCTTTTATAATTTTTCCCTAAACTCGTTATTTTAGAAGTTATCGCCAATTTTACAGTAATCACATAAGATGCTAATTAAAAAATATGATTTCTTCATGTTTGTAACAATAATAATAATAATCCTAATGTTATAAAAAATTAAAATAATTATCAAAGTAAAGACACTAAAGTTCATTAGATAAATCTCGTGGTATTAGAATGTTTTTACGAATTACTTTAATAATCTATTTCAAGACGAAGAAAAAATAATGAACCAATAATCGAATAGAGACTTATCTAAAAGATAAATTTATTTTTATGAAATATTTATTCATTTTGATCAACCTTCAGTTCTTCGATTTAATTCTATTCAAGTCACTAGCAATAAACAATAAATTAAAAATGTGTAAATTATTTTTAATATCGGTAATTTTAACATCAAGCTTGTCTTTGTCTTTTTCAACAAATAATTCTAATTGTGGAAAAAAAAAATTCATACAAATTAAAATTGAGTGAAAAAGATTTAAATGTGGTTAAATTCGTCGAAGATTGCTGGGAAAAATTAGTCGCTGAAGGAAGAACTAGAAGAGCACCGAACAGAGGCGATTATTATGTCAATTGCGCCAGAGTCCAAGTTGCAGCCACTGAAAGAAGATACACTATACTTGTTATATATTCTACCGATTTGTATGTTAAGAGGCCATTCATTAATTACGTAAGGGTATTGAGGGGGAGGGGGGGTTAAGAAAATCTCTACAAGTTCTTACGTTGGGGGGATTAAAAATCAAGATTAAAAATCTTTCCATTTCGGATTCCAAATTGTTTTCTTAATTTTAAAGTGTACAGTCGAATTTTTATTTTATTTAAATAATTTTTGTTGCTTATTGACAAAAATAAAAAAAAACATTAAAATTTTATATGTTTTTATTGTTATCCATGTTTAGTTCTATAGAAAAAATTATAGTATATTTTTCCGTGTATTATCATATTTTTATTATTTAAAAAAAAAAAAAACATTTCCATCTACCGTTACATCTGATGAGCTACCAATTGTCTCTGATTGGATGACATGGGTTAAAAGTCCGTTTAGTCCAAATGAAGATTAATAATTTTAATTGGTCTAGCTTTAATTATTTAATTTATGTTTTTGAGACTAATTTAAAACTAGTCAAATATTATTTTATGAACAATGTTATGAGTTTGTAGTCATAATGACTTATGTTTGCTAGTATTATTTAAATTATTCCTTGTTAAAAAATAAAAATTATGGATCCGCGTTGAACTATAAGTTTTAGTGAAACTGATCCTTTTCTAATATAAAAGTTTATTATTTAGAAGATCAAGATAGAATCTTACGTAAGAAAGGGGAAGGGGGGGGGGTTCGAGAAATCTTACGTATACTTACATGGGGGTAGGGGGGGGGGGTCAAAATTGACCAAAATTGTCCTTACGTAATTAATGAATGGCCCCTAAAGGGTTAAATTGTTTAATATTTGTTATGACATGACGAATCAAACGATCATTGAGTATAAGTTGTCACATAGGACGTTTTGAAGTATGTATAAGTCCTCAAAAAATTAATCCTTTCTTCCTGATAAATTATGATCATGATTATATTTGTGGGTTTGTTTTAGACCAGTGACGTCCTGGCAGAACGCGAGCAATGTAATATGTACAACCTCCTCTACGAGCTATTCTGCCCTAAAAGAATAACTGCCGCTTTTATGCCAAATAATGCCTTTCAAGGTGTACTGCCCTCAGGGCAGTGCCCTGGAGAAAATTAAACTTCCTATATGAAGATATTTCTTAATTCATTTTTCCCAGGCGGGCCTCGTGAAGGCGTCGACAGACCCTAGTTGGACCCGTTGCTCGGCTCTCTAAAAATTATAATAATTTGGCAACGGGTTAAAGTTTTAGTCAATTATAATAACACTTAGTTATTTAAAATGAGTATTTATGTTAGTAAAATCAAAGTTTAATCAAAGTAATCTCAATATTTTTCGAAAAAATAAGAAAAAAATCAGACGATAATTTTGAATAAATTTTTGGTATTTTTTTCGAAAACTACATTCAAAAACAAAGAAAATAGAAAAATCAGTTGTAATTTGGATTATTTTTGACCAAACGGTACGTTTTTAAAAAATCAAGAAATAAAGTGGATGATTAGCAATTAAACACGTCCGAAATTTTTTCAAATGAGAAAAAAAATCGACAAGGAAAAAACGCCACTGAAAATTTTTTTAGAATTTACTGGAAAAATCAAAGTTTTTGCGACATATTTCTATTACTTACCATAATAAATGCCAATCCCGTCATATTAACCGATTTCACATTATTGTCATAACAAATCGCTGCGCATTCCTGACTTTTGTTATGACAAAAAAATTTTTTTTCAACACTATATATATATACTTAATTTGAGTACGAAACAAATTGAAAGAATAACATTGGTTTGACAGGATCAATCACCAACAATTGATTGGAAAATGTGACAGAAGAAAACTGATAGAACCAAAAAATTATTTAAAACTGCTTCAAGAATTTAATATAAAAAATGATGGATCATCAAAAAATAGTTTAAATGCATAAATTCAGATCAAGATCTTTTTCATGGTACTATATAAATTTCACTGAATAAATTCCTTTCCAGATCAAAAAAATGTCTTAATTATTTTCTGAATTTTCTTAATTAGATAGATTATAAATATGTATTTATTAACTATCACTTCTCAAGAGAAACTTTTTTGATATACTTAAACTAATATCTAATTACGTTTAATTCATTAATGATGGCTTATTTAGTAATGAAATAGAGTAATTAAGTTGATAGTATTTATTTCACATACTAAAACTGTATTCTTTAGTCTTCTGTTTAATGACGAGCCTTAATTATGAATATCTAATGGAAAAATAATGATGGATCTAATTTGCTTTGAAAAGAAAATTACGTTACTTTAATTATAATTTATAATACAATATATATATTGATACAGCAGACAAAAATACAACTTATTCTTTGTTAATTTTATACTTCATCCATTTAAGACAAAAAATATTACCCGTTTTATTTGTATTTCTTATCCCCATTTCGTATAACGATCATATCTAATTTAAGTACATTTTCATATTTTTTCTTTAATAAATTGTTTTGTCATTGTCATTATCACTTTCATGTGATGGATATGATTCTTTTTTTTTTTTTAATAAAAAAAAATATATATACTATATATAATTCATCAACATAATTCAATATATATTCTTAGATTCTTCATAACTTCAAAGTAAATATGGAAGGATTTTTTACAATTATATCAAATTAATACTTTTGTTTATCTTTTCATCTCATATAAAAATTATAAATTATAACTCGTATATGAGTGGGCATAATACCTCGACTATACAAATAGAAACGTATTAAACTCAATCATGTACGTCTCTTCTTCCAGCATCTAATACAAAAAAGTTTAAGGGAAGAGAGGCAACATAAGAACTGTCAGATGAAATTTAAATATCAAAAATTTAATCAGTTAAATGTTTTTTTAAAGTTTTGTAAATCATTTTTCGGGATAAAAATTTTTTTGGGATTTATCATTAGAGAAAAAATTTTCTAATCCACAATTTTAATGAAAAACGAAATCACTCTTTCAAAATACAAAATAAAATTTTTCTTAGGAAATTTTATTGTAATAGGTTGTCATTTCTTAACCAAAGTTTTTAGTAGATTTTTATTGATTAAATTTTCATCGAAAGTTCTATCTAAATAATTGAAAAAGAAAAAAAAAAAACGTTAAGACATGATTATAATGTAAGTATACTTATTATGATAAATTTAGTTGGAATTGTTCAAATAAATTTGATAATTTTTGTTTTCTTCAAAATGTCCCACTTTGCCTCTCTTCATTACATAATGACAATAAATAAAACTTTATCTAGCATACTCTCTTTTAAATTAAAAACTAAACTTAAATTAACAACCATTTTCTATATTTATTAGTAAGAATTAAAATAGTTTTGTAACTATCTTGTACGAATATTTACGATACACGAGTGAAGTTCGGCGCACGAGTAAGTCAACTTACGAGCATCTTATAATTATTCGTACAAACTACTAATTTTTGCAACCAAAGTTATTTTGGAGTAAAAAGAAATTTTCTTGGTTCAAGAAAATTTACCGTCGGGTATAGATTTTTTTTTCTGTGTAGCTTATATTCACACTCAACTGTTAGTAAATGCAACATTCAATAAAATTGAAAAACTTTTAGGAATATTAGTCCAGCTATATAATATCCTCAAACATTCATTACCAACACATAGAAAATTTGCAAGCAAGTGTTACAAAAAATTACGGTAATTTTTTGTATCTTTTCAACTTAGTATTTTTATATTAAAATTCAAAGTAAATTTGGTCACTCATTGAAACGAGCCAAGTAGTTTAAATAGTAAAGATAAAAAATAAAAATTATCACATGGAATAAAATATTTTAAAATTAGAGCCCTTTTGTTAGCATTTTTCCGGAAGGGGCTGATAATTTTCTTTCATCAGAATTTTTGAATTGCAAATATATTTTCAATTATACAACATCAACTATTTATAGGTAACTATTAAATTAATCTTAAAAACAGATCTCATGAACAAAAATGATTTTATCCTATAATTGAAAAGATATTTGCACAATGATACTTCCGTTGTAATATCTATTTAAAAAATGCCAGTATTCAGTCTCTAATATTGTTTGTGCATGAATACGAATTAAAATTTACAAAAAAATTAATAAATACAATAATTTAAAGCGTTGATGCATCTTCAGGTATATTTTTGAGGTTAGCCATCTTCCAATAAAATTCTGGTGGTCCTTGTGTGAAACAATACTTCATGTCAACAGTTTCGTCATTTTCGACGTAATACATTAGATAGAAATTGCACATTTCATCTTCACCAGTAGAACCAATAAACGTGTCTCGATCTCGAAAACTCTCCATTGTACATCTTGCCGCGAGAATATCGCCCTTTGTTATGGTAACATTGTTGTGAACTGGATAGAACATCTGGGGAGTTAAGGGGTCCCGTTTTCCTAATTCAATCCACTTGTTATCTTTGTCGACAACGTAACCGGAAACTACCTTACCAAGTGCGTGCGTATGGGTACGATAGGCAAATGGATGCAACACTTTGTTCTCCATGAACAAACACGCTGCTTCCATGTACTCTTTGCTTCTCGCTGGTACGACTCCCATTGTGCCAAGTAAGTAAACGCCAGCGAGTTTGTGCAACTGCCTTGACGTGTAATGCAAAATTATACCTGAATCATCGGTTGTTACGCCATCTTTGAAGTGATCTATGTGTGCATAATGGACCTGCAGTACTAAATACTTTATTTGAGAGTCCTTGCCAACTTTGAATCCTACACCTTCAGGTAACGTCAACGCCGGTGCATCACGTGCCCATGCATATAAAATTTCAGATCCTTCGCTGCAAGGACTTGCTTGTCTGTATTGATCATTATTATTGTTAGACTTGGCTGCCATTTCACCACAATTCCACACGGCTTTCGCTGTACCAGGTGCTTTGCAGCCGTAAATCAGTATGTGGTGTGCTACGTTCATCGATGCTTTTGGTTCGTAGCCTACGATGTAATACGTGTTGGACGTATTCATTTTCACCGGTGTACATAAGTATAGTTCGGGCTGAAATGAAAAAAAAAAAAAAAATACATTAATACGAAAATATTTAATTTGAGTGCTATGAAATCAATTCTTAGTTTCTAGGAATGGAAACCTATAAATTTTTGGCATTCATAAAAAGAAAGTTGAAAAATCTGAAATAGCACGACGCAAGTAATAGCCTGATGTTAGCCATTTTAATTTTTAATAACTGTTTTAGGGGAAATATAGATAAAGGGAAAAGGGAGACCGGAATTGGACAGTCCAGACCGGGAATCAAACCCGGATCTTTGAGCTACGCATCAACAGCTCTTCCAGCTAAGCTATTTAAGGGGTTACATGGATTTCCTCCGGGAAAAAATGGCATATTTTGACAATTTTTTTTTAATATAAAAAATGAAATAATTAATTCAATTTTTTTACTGTCTTAAAGATACATATTTAATAACGGATTAATGAAATTTTTGGAAAAAAAATATTAAAAACTTTGCCATTGTGACGTCATTTCCGGCGAGCCCTCGGAAAAAAGATACATCCGCATTGACAGCAGAACTCCTAGCAGGATCATTTTAAGTGAGAAAAAAAGAAAATACGTGTTTAGTGAAGACTTTAAACTAAAAGAAAACTTGGAAGAAGGAAAAAAAAATAAATAATTGTATCTCGGAGACCTGTCTAAAATTTCATCAAGATCGGTTGAGTAGTTCTCGAGAAATCTTGACAACCGTCTTTGAAAACATAGTTTTGAAAAAAACGTGTTTAAAGTTTTGAGTGACAATGAAACAGCGCCTTGAGCGCGCAACTTTTTAAAACTGTTTCTCCGAAAGTATTACTCAGATCGACTTGAAACTTTAGGACGATATTCTAGAGATTTTGTAGAATTTAATAAGACAATAAATAAAAAATCGATTTTATGAAGCCGTGAAACCCATGTAACCCTTTAAAACATTGTCTACAATCATTATTCAGTCACCATAATAATCCGCAATAGCAATCATATTTTCATACAAAATAAGTAAAAAAAGGTTGACAGATTGATAGAAAAATAAGTAAGCTATACGTTGCTTCGAATACGTTTATAATACAATTTTAATGGGTCTATTAGCGGAATCAACTTTAGATTTGGATTTAGCGCATTGAAAGACATAAGGAGCATACTTAATTTAGTTCGAAAAAATTTTTTTCGTCTGCACAAATGTTTTACTCTGCGACTTTTGGAGGTTTTTTGCAATTTACCCTAATTTTGAGGGTATACGGACCAAACCGACCTCAAATTCGGATTTAGCGCATTGAAATATAAAACCTTAGGTGGGTTCAGACAAATGTACAAACCACTTTTTTTTGGTTTTCGGTGTTATTAACATTGGTAACGTTAACGATAATAATATTATTAATTTCAAAAATCCAACCGAGTAACAATAATAATAGAATTTCAACCATATCGATGAGTATTAATTGATGTCATTTAAGAATCTAATATCTAAAGCTTATGATATAAAAATTAACTTGATTTAAGAGAGAAAATTAGGAAAACGGTTGATCCTAAAGGCCATCCCTGCAACTTCTAGCTAATTCCATATCTAAGCGCTTAAAATTGCACTTATGACGTTTTTGAGCTCTTCGAGTTCAAAATATAATTTACATGTTTTTTCGAGCTCTTCGAGCTCAGAGAGTTAGCAGTTCCAAGATTTGAGCTCTTCGAGCTCAAAAGTTTGATAGAAGTTTAAAAAACAGTATTTTTGAATTTTCAAACCGCAATTACTTCTGAATAAATGAACCGATTTTCACACGGTAGGCAGCATTCCACGTAGTTTTTCAAATTCTTTGATATTCTTGTGAATACAAACTGATCAAACCAAAAATTTTAGAGAAATTTGGAAAATTCACTTTTTCCGAATTTTTTCGACAATGATAACTCACGAACCAATCAACCGATTATCGCGTTCTTGGCAGCGATCGACGTGATTTTTTAGGCCTTAATAATTACTGTATTTCATCAAAAACGATCCAAAAAGAAATGTCGAAGTTATGTGAAAAAAAACACTTTTTTTGAAATTTTTCGTTTTCGATAACGTCAGAATGAATCAACCGATTTTGACCAGACTGGTGGCAATCGACGTGGTTTTTCAAGGTTAAAAACGGATTAGTTTTTGGAATTAATCGGTATAGCCGTTTAAAAGTTATACCAAAATAAAGATTCTTTGAAAATTTTATTTTTGGGATTTCTCAAAATCTAGCGAACCAAATCGATTCAAATTTTCACGAAATTTAATGGCAATGACATTCTTTGGATCTCTACCTAATTCGATCCGATCGGCCGAGTCGTTCAAAAGTTATAAGAGGTTTACACACACACACACACACACACACACACACACACACACACACACACACACACACACACACACACACACACACACATACACACAACAAACATGAGGATACTGCAGCTCAATCTCAACCATTGTGAGGCAGCGCATGACCTGCTCATGCAATCCGTGCGAGAACTAGAGCTTGACTTGGTACTGATAGCAGAGCCATATAAACACCTGAGTACCCAACCCTGGGAATCTGACAGCACATCCAAAGCTGTCATCTGGTCATGTAGCAAGCTCCCTTTCCAAAATGCGGTCGACAACAGCAATGCCGGCTTTGTAGCAATATCAGTAGAAGGCATCCGCTTCTATAGCTGCTACGCACCACCTAGCCTCTCCATTGGTGACTTCACTGATTTTTTGGATCGACTAACCGAAGATGCGAAGAAATATCATCCAGTAGCGATAGCCGGAGACTTCAACGCCTGGGCAGTTGACTGGGGAAGCAAGCATACAAACGCGCGAAGAAAGGAATTACTAGAAGCCTTTTCTACACTAGATGTAGTACTGCTCAACAGTGGAGACTCTCCAGCCTTCACCAAGGGAGACGCAAGTT